ATTATTTTGATTTGTATAGTTTAAAACTATAGTATTGATATTATTTGTTATATAGTATATTTAACAATTAACAAATATTTTTGAGTTTGATTATTATTATTTAATATAGTTTTAAAATATAAATATTTAGTTAGTGACGTTAAATATAAAATTGAAAATAAGGGCATACTAATAAATGGACGTCAATCCACTGGATAAGCGTCCATCCAGTGGATACACGCCTCTTTGAAAGATACAAATAATTTTTAGTAAAATAAAGTCAATTTTGTCATTACAACTAAAGCATTTATTTGCAAATAATAAAAATTCTTTTATAAGAAAAATAATATCACCAAATGGTGTCATCTGCCACACAACAACGACAATTTATATCATTCAATTTGTTATATATGACATGTTTATTAACAATATTATTTTAATTTAACAATTATTTTATTTACATGCTATTTTATAAACAATATCGTTAATTTTTTTATACAATTGAATACATCGATTTCAATAAATTTAATTCGTCAATATTTGTTCATTATAAAAAACAAATCGTTAAATAAAATGATGATAATATCGAAACAAAACTATTTTTTATTTTTTTGTAAATTTAAAATAAAAACACATCAATGTTAACACTTTAAACAACGTCAAAAAGTTAAAATTTTTATATTTTTAACTTTTATATATTTATATTTTTATTTTTAAATAATATTGCAACAATTGAAAAAAAGTTAGAAACCAAGTAAGAATTTTTTTACTTTTTTTAAAAAAATGTAAAAAGTAAAATAAATAGTTTTAAAACCTTAATTAATAACTATTATAAAAATATATTTAAGTTTTTTACCTTATTTTCCGTTTTTAATAGCCCGTAATTTTAAAGGTAATCAATAAGAAATACACCCTTCTGACAATTGTTGAGTCTTTGATAATTACTTGGTAAACTATATGTATTTAGATAAAAAAAAATCAAAATTTTTTCATTACAATTGAATGAATTTGAGTTTTAAAAAACAACATTTTTTGATTTTTATTTTATTATCAAATAATATTAATTTAATTTATAACTTGGGACACATTTTTAAGTCAAAACATGATGTTATAAAAATATAAATTTTCAGACACAACATTTGAAATAATTAATAATTACACACGTTTTAACCTCTTTTGTCATTTAAAAAGTGAAGAGTTGATCCAAATAAACAATTAAAATGAATATAGTGGAGAATTTTACTTGTTCTCAACTCACCAATAAACAAGAAAACACTAAAATATCAAATACTAAAGTTCAGAAACATGATCATACGTTTAAACCAAAAAAACAAAATTGGGTATATTTTATAACCCAAATAATGCCAAAAATAATAATTGTAAAACATTGCAAACCACAAAAAAAAACAAAAATGTTTTAAAAAAAGACAAAATAAGAATAAAGAAAAAATGAAATTACCAAAATATGAACTAATGTTATTATCAAATACACATGTTGGTATAAAAAATGATAAATTAAATGTGCCTTTTGACGATGATTGTATTATTAATAAAAAAGACTCGGAAATGCTTGCAAGGAATGTTGCTATTCCTCTTAAAAAACCAACTACCGATGATATACTAAAAACCGTACATACTTTTGTTAATTTATTTCACATGAAAAAAATACCAGATTATGAAACTAATGAAGAAATTGGTAATTTTATTCAAGGACTTATCCAAAATGAAGACGAAATGGAAATATATTATGGTCTGACAACACCACAATTTGATTTTCTTTTTGAATTGTTATTATCATCCATTGTTTGTTATGAATCGATTCATAACACATTCGTTACATTCTAAAATATTTTTCAAGGAATTCAAATGTTGTAAGACTCAGGAGTGTTTTGTTTATTTTTCTATTCATTTTAAGAACTGGTCTCAATTTTATTTTGACTTTTGTTTTTTTTTTAAGATTAGATCGTTTTTCCCATAGTGAGCCACGAAAACAATTTAACAAAACAACAATAAATGGAAAAACAAAAAAAAACAAGAAGACTACCAACAATGGAAACATAGAAAACACAACAGATTGTCGAGATATGTAAAACATCAACTTAATAAGTTTTTTTGAAGTATTTGAAGATAATTGTACAAAACAGTTTGTGTTAAGTGTTGCATCAAATCCGAAAGCATTTTAAGCTTTCAGTGAATGTGAAGAAGCAATAATGGCAACAATTTTTAAAGAATTCAATCTAACTTTTGCTGTAGTTGATACAAAAACGGTTGTAACTCATACAATTCATGTTTTTCATAAAACTTGGGATGGCAGATACGTCAAAATTAGAAGCTCGATATTATACTCACCCAAAACAAATAGTAGTGAATTGCAATTTCAAATTATGGTAAATCATAACGGGTTTATTGTAATGACCACAACTTTTGAGGGAAGCACATCTGATATTAAATTGTTTTATTGCCAACAACGAAAAATGGGTTTTGGTGAAGGTTATATATTGGGTGATTTGGGATATAACTCATCCACATTAACGAATGTAATAACTCCAATAAAAAACCCGGAATCAACATCAGACCCTGATGCCGCAAAGTTGTTTAATTATGTACATTCCAAAATGAGAAATGTTGTTGAAAGTGTTTTTGGAAGAATGTATAGTATATGGATGTTTTTAGGATGTCATACCAATTGGGTTCTGACTTGTTTCCTCATATAATAAGAGCAGCTTGTAATATATTTAATTTCATGCTTTCGATACGACCCATGAATAAAAATGAAATTGAAAAGGTTTATGAAAACACAGAAGATTTATATTTAGGTTCTTTTGAAACTCTTCAATTGGAACATCTCAATCAAGAAAATTGTTTTAATTCTGAAATTACAATTTTTTTAAAAAAACTGAATGAACTTTCTAAAATAAAAGGAAATCAAAAAACAAAAAACGAAATTAAAAATGAAAGAAGTCTATTTTTAAAGGGGTTAACCAAAATTTATATATGTCTGATTTAAAGATTCAAATTTTTTAAAGTTTACTATCGATTGTTCGTATTCGACAAAACTGTTTTTTATTTTTTATCTTTTTAATAATTTGCATTTTTGGTTCGAAAAGGGGATTTCTGTTTTTTAATTGTGAATTGTGTACACGTTTCGGAAAACAGACAAATTTCGTCTTTTTTTACCATTTTCAGTAAAAATTATTTATTTGAGCAATGTCAACTTCGTTATTACCACAAAAAGTCTCTCTACCACTTTAGAAATTTTTCCTTTTGCGATTGCGCACCCTAGTCATAAAATACTACTTCATAGTTTACTGTGGATAGGTTGAAAAGGCGTAGATGGTAAATATAGATAGACAATTGTTATTATTACATGTTGTTTAAAATAAGTAACATGACTTGTATTTTTGAGTGGTTTTTGTTGGTATTTGCCGTATAGCAATATGTTATAAATTTGAGCAATTTACTATTGTTATATAATTTAATTTTAAACTTTTGGTTAAAATGCGGTATTTTGCCATTTAACTTTTTTAAAAGTTTTTATAGTAAAAATATAATACCATTTAACCATGTTTATAGAATTTGTTTTAAACTATTATTAGTTTGAATCCAAAATCAAAACTAATATTTTAATACAATTTATTAATTATTGTAGTTTTGAATATAATAGTATCATTATTAATTTATTTTTAATAAATATAATAATAAAAATAATAGTTAAAAGTTATTTCATTATAATAATGTATTTTGAAAATAATTTTTTGAAATATTTTTATAAAAATTGTTTCATAATTTGTCAAAAAATACTACGGCATAGTTAACTGTGGATAGGCTGAAAAGTTGTGGATGGTAAATATAGACAGACAATCTTCATTATTACATGTTAAATGTAATGAGTAACATGACTTGTTTTTTTAGTGGTTTTTATTGGTATTTGCCGTATGTTTCTATTTTAATTAACTAGTATTGTTATGATTTTTTAATAACATAAATAATAACTTATTGTTACAATGTGGTAATTCGCCATTTAACTTTTTTACATTTTTATAGTAAAAATTAAATTTTATTTAACTATGTTAATAGAATTTGTTTTGTGATTATTCTGTCATTTTTATGTTAATAATAATATACTATTGTAATATAATTAATTGTTATTAATTAATAGTTTAGTTTAGACATAAAACTTTTGTCTTTAACATTTTCAACAAAACCAGAATATAATTTAGGATGTAAAACCCTTCTTTATACGTATAATTTGCGCCAACATAAAGGGCATTATTTAACAAATTCCAATTTTCAAATATTATTATTAAAATAATAAACTAATAAAGTGTTTATATAAATTACAATACTATTAATAAAAAGTGATGATAAATGCATTTTTGAGCCACTATTAACAATTAAATAATATTATTTAAATTGATATTAAAAATAAATATTTTTTAATGCAAAAAATGGGAATTTTCCCAAATTATTATCCCATAAATCACTTTTGGAATGTTTTTTCAATTAATAAAAACAAAAAAATAGCGTTACATATATCAAATAAACGGGATAATACATGTAAATAATGTTAGTTATTTTATTTGTTCATTTTGATCTATTCTTATTTTACCACTCCAAAAAAGGCTGAAAATAGCGTTTTTTTTAATATGAAATTATTGCAAATATTGGAAATACTCCTTATGGGGGTATTCATGTTTGTGTATCATTTTTGTCCCATAAATGATTATAAATAACAATTATTAATTTCAAAAATCATAACATATGGTTTAAAACGGATATTTGTTTTTTTTGACAAAAAAAATAAGAGGCTATCCACACAAAATATTCCAATCCACAAGGATTCACAATTTCCATGTGGATACGCCCTATCACGTTAACACTCTTAAATACAACAAAACACTAAAATTAAATAAGAAAAAAAATATAATAACAATTTATGAGATATTGAAGAAAGATATTAGATTTACCATTTTTGCATAGAAATGAACTTTGCACTACAATAAAATAGATTACTCAAACGATTATGAAAATTGCTCAAGAATGGTGCCAACAACGGAGAGGATGCACAACACCACACAACAAAACATTGCGGTGGTAAAGATAATATATCTCCACAATGGGATGTGAGCGTCGGGCAGTTTAATCCATTTTTTCTGCAATTTCTCGATGTCTTCGTCTTTGTTTTCTGGTTCGGGCTCTTTGACTGCGAACTCTTCATTGTTTTGTGGAACGTCTTTACCATTTTTGATTTCGGCAAGTTCAATCTCTTTTGGTCCGCCTTCGTCTGTTGCAAAGGTGACGACAACATCTGCAATTCCTTCGTTCTTTTTAGCTTCTATCCCAGCAAAAGCTACTTCGATATCATGTTGTGTAAATCGTGTGTTTCCGTCGACCTTTTTGTTGTACAAAACGTTGTCCACAATACTAAGTTTACGGAAATTTGGATCGCCAAGTTTCTCAATTCGAGGCCAAAGCATAATGATACTCAATGGACCGATATACACAACAAAAATACTGAATATTGCAGCACCAACAGAAAAGATAACACCAATATTCGTCACAAAACTTGCACACAACGTCGACAAACACAAGATCAAAATTCGAATGACTAGAATAGAAAGAGTGCCGTTCCATATTTGCATAAATTTCCAATTGCGCGGAATGTAACGAATAATTCCCGCACATGTAGGGTACATGATGATGGGATATGCAACACAGACAACAACAATCATCAGCGCTCTGCATATCAAAATGATCCAGTCAATATCAGTTTTGTTTGGGTTTGAAAAATCGTTCAAAACGTTTCCAGACACTTTATCGAAAGAAACGTCTCCACTTATTGCCACAATCAAATAGAATATAACCGTGGTGATGATTGAAATGACACTTCCAGCCTGAAGCGAGATTAATTTTGTTTTCTTAGACATGCCTTTTGTACCTACATAAAGTGGAGGAAGGCACGAATGGACTTGGAAATTTGCTGAAATGAAGCTACAAAATGAGTCTATTTTTGTGTTATGTACATTATTTGTATAATATATACGAAACAAACGGCGCCATTGTGAAGAACGACATGAAACCTGGGGGCCACAACTTTCCGTTGAATGTTGGGAAGTTCTCATCACTTCCATTGGATGATTTACCTGCCGCTACAGAGTATATCAATTTCCCTAAAATCGAAAAGGTAGTGACAAGCCCCGAGACAAGCGTTAACGTGGAAATTCTGCTCAAAAATTTGACAGAGCGTGGGATGATTAATGGGAAGTTGAGAATAACCGCGACTAAATACAAAATGATGTAATGCCACCCACAAGCAATACCAGCTGTTTGCTGTGGTTTTCCATAACACTGGTCCAGTGTATTGTTCCACTGATCCCGTGTTGTTGTGTCTTGAATAATACCGAAGATGTATTGCGTTGCTATCACTTGATCTGACATTAACACACAAATGAAGAACAATGTGTTACACACGTCCACAATAATGGCAAATGCATTTCCAAAAACAAGCGATAGTAACTCACCAAGTGTTGCGGCGCCAGTCAAGTAAATAGCCTTGTTAAAGTAAAACCACGTATATATGAAATATACGATGGTCAGTATATTCCATGCAACAAACCCAATTACTCCCATTTTACTACACGTCAAGGCTAACGATAGAATACCTGCACCAATTAAAGACCCGACCAACGAAAATCCGAAGTGTAACGATTTGAACGCGATTGTCCAATTTGTTTTTGCGTTTCTGCGCATTTTTCCATTCGGGAGTCTGGAGTATTCTTTCTCTTCTAGCAACAATTCTTGGAAGTTTCTGGCGATGACATCTTCCACTGTAAATCCTTTTCCTTCTTTACTGTTTTGCAGCTTTTTAATTTCTTCCTCATCTATTTCATCGTCTTTGTGAACACCATTTTCGTTGGTCTGAATATCTTTGTTATCGGTATCCTTTGTGTCAGCCAGTGGCTGTGTTGGCGAAGGGGTCTGTTTTGTATCAGTCTTTCTAAGACGTCGGATAATGGAGGACCGCATTGTGCTCACCTCAGTTTGTGAGGCGACAGCAGATCCTGCTGTTGGATCGCTGTCCTTTTTGAACTGAAGATCAACACTCTCTTCTTCATTAGGAAGATCGTGGACACCATCTTGAATGAACCGCTCGTTATACGGCTCAAAACACCCCTTCTCGACTGTTTTTGATAGGGTTTCAGAGTCTAAGTTACTAGTGATGACTGCTTTAGACATGTTTGATGGATAATCAGTTTGTTGTTGGATAAGATTTGGGGTGATTGAATTGTTTAGAAATTGAAGAACATTTCCACGTTTTTCGAAGAGTCTGTACGAAAGTTAAAACGAGGATTTGGTGCAATATTTCGGGAAGTTCCACTAATATATGGAAACTTGGCTTGCAAGGTCTTCTGTTTTTTTGTGAAAAAAATATATATTTATTTGGTGTCATCTTTTATCCCCAAAAAGTGGGATAATAATAAAAGTCGTTGTTCGAAAGAAACGGGAATTTGGGAGGTCATCCATTTGACTTAAGATTAATTTCCCATTATTTCGATTTTGGGGTGCAAAAACACAACTTAGTTGGTTAAGTGCACATTTTTGATGTTGTTGCCATTTCTTTATAATTGCTTATAAAAGTTCAAATAAATACACCCGAAAGAAAAAATGCCTCATTTAATCACAAATGTAAAGTATTGTAAAAGCGAATGAGTATGAAAATAATCGAATAATAACAAACTGACATTTTCCGAATATGGTAAATGAATTGTTAATATGCCGAAAGTTCAAACTTTATATGTTAAATAAAACGTGTGTTATGTCATAAAGCTATTATCGTAAAATGGTAGTAAAAATAACAAAATGGGTGATTGAGGCAAAATTTGAGGAGACTTATTTCCCGCTTTTTTCTGAGACAAATGACCAACTTAATTTTTTTCTTTTTTCCATCTATTATACTTTTTTGTTTGTAAAAATAAAATAATTGAATAACATTTTGTTATAGCTTTTTTTGTTGTTAATTAACTTAATTAATTAATGGACAAAAAATATTTGTTTATTTTTTATAATTGTTTATGATTGTTTAATAAATTATATTTAATATTTTAATATTTAATAAAAATGTTTTTATAAGAAAAACGTTAAATGATAACAACTCACTAATTAATAGCAAAAATAAAACAATTCACACAACGATTAGTGTGGTGAGTCAGTTTACAGTTTCGACTGGTTCCAGGAAATGCCCAGCACAACACGAACAAACAAATTTCACTTTATTCTCGTCATCAACATATGAAGAAATTGTGCAACAGTCCGATTGACATGTCATCGAAATGCAATCGCTGAGTGTGTAGTTTGCTGCCCGACATTTGCAATCAGAAGCACAGTGACACTCGACGTGTGTCGGAGGTGTAACGTCGAGTGGTATTTGTGTTTCCTGAAGTTGTTGAATTTGTTGACCTTGGAAGAGTTGTATAATTTGTTGGAATATGTATGGGTCTGTTGAGACGCCGTTGACCAGAGACTCTGGGGTCAACACACCGTTCTGGAGAAGTGTCTGAATGACTTGAGACCAAAACGATTCTGTTTGGAAAAATTCATCCTGAATTACAACTTGTTCCTCTTTTGAAAACTCGTTTAATAAAAATTGAATAAAGTCCGATAGGTTGGCATACCCTAAAGCTTTTTGCGTAATTTTCAGTTTTTTGTAAAGTGAACCGTCTATCCTTGCACGGCTCTCGATTTTTGTGTTTTTATTTCGCGATGGCTTTGTTGCAGACATCTTACAGTTTTAAAATTTTTAGATAGGATTTATTGCATGATTCGGCAAGAATTGCTTTTTTGCATTGAAATATTTTTTTGGCAAAATACATTTATAATTATCATCATAGTTGGTTTCTTTTTAGAACATTAGTAAAAACAAATAGTTAAACAATAATAAAAATTTGGTAAATGTTATAGTATAAACAAAGTTTATTTAATTAGATTTGTTTATTATAACTACATAATTAAATTAACTTTACTATAACAAACAAAATAGAACAATAATTATCTTTCGTATTAATGATTATAATAATTTTTGAAGTATTTAATAGTACATTTTTTACAATTGTTGTATAACATTTTAATAACATTTATTTGTTTTTTAATAAACAAAATAAAATAATAAATATATAGTATTTGTATCATATTTCAATAGTAAAAACTAGATAAAAAAAAGCAGATATAGGATGAAATATATTTTTGCCTTTTATTCAAAACAATAAATTAATAACACAACTAAAACTATAATAAAAATGTAGTTAAAATATGAACAAATCCAAAAATGTATTATCTTCCAAAAAATGATTGGTAACAAATACCTAGTTTTACGGGATTAATAACATTTTTATAACAAAAATACAAACATAAAAATAACAACAAAACAAAAAACAAAAGTTACAATTTGCCAATTAAAAACCATAGCACAAATTGTCAAAAGATTTGTTATTTTAACATGACTAAAAACAATAATACAATTGTTACCAGAAATTGTCAACAACCAAACATTATATAACACATCATAACATTATCAAAATATAATATCAAACAAATCGATAAGACATAATCAATACCTGATTAAATGGTGAGACTTTCTGACTTGAATTTTCATAATTAATTGTCAAGAGATAGTTCTTGTAGTTTTAATAGTCTCTCGCCCTTATTCTGATTCATTGAGTATAATTCGCGCATTGGCACTTCATAGTCCTTCTACATAATTTCTCTTCGGATTCAAGCACTCAAATAGTGTTTTAACCTTTTTAATTTTCAACAGTTTAACTTAAGCGTTTCCTAACTCTTAATATTATTTTTTTAATTCGTTTTCGTTTTATGTATTGGTTTATTTATTTTTACTTTTGTTCCAGTGTTAGACTCTTTGATCGTGTTTCAAGATGGGCAATTATTTACTGACAACTAACTTGACATTATCTCTTATTATCACCTTTCTTTTTCCATTCTTCTTCCAAACATCAAAGTTGAAAAACCTTTGGTACATCATGTCTAGCGAAATTAATTTCTTGTCAATTTCCGATACCATTCCATCCAGGCGCATTTTATGGAAAAAGGAAAACTCGCCCCTTGAGAATTCACCCCTGTAATTTCACAAAAATTCAACATAAGTTCAACAATAAATTTTAGTATACAATAAATAAAATATCTATATTCACTATTATTTATATTAATAGATTAATATAGTTATTTATTATTAATATATACATGTGGTGTTTAAAAGAAATTTATTTTAACCTTACGATACAATTACTGTTTTAGGAGAGCTTACTCAATTACTTCATTTGAGTAAGCAGAATTATTTATTTTTTAATTTTTTTTCAATTAAAATCTTTCAACATTGTTTCAAATGATTTACATTTTTTTGTGATACAACAACAAAGAAACAAAAAATAATGAGTTTTACACTCTTATTTTGTGGCATGATAAAGTTTTACAATCATCATCATATAGAGAATAAAAACATTTTAAAGTGTCAATTGAACCTTTCAATAAATTGTTTGACTATGCTAATCAATTAAATAACTCTTCGAATTCTGCATTGTTTAATTTTTCCAATACATTGAAAATTTATTGTCACTTAATTTGTCAATAAAATTCACGTTTTCTTCACTTTCGACAATTTCTTTTACAATTTCACCGTTATCATTAAAATTGTATTTTATTCCATGAATCATCACAACCTCATTTTTATTGAAAAAGTTCACCAAATTAGTTTTTGTTGGGGTTTTGACTGGAATTTACTAATTAAAAATTGACTTATTCCAGTTGAAACAATAGTGTTTTCATTAACTTTTATTTTTAAATCACCATTACCATCAAATAAATCAAATAATAATTGTGTATTTGAATTGTAATAAAATTCGAGACCAACGACTTCTTTTTGTTCGTTGTAAGATTGGGTTATTTGTTTTTAAACTTTGTTTTTTTAACTTCCCACTTTCTTTGTTTTGTTTCAGTGTTAACCAAAGTTGAGTTGCACCCAAGTGTTGGCCTCTTCGATGTTTGATTGTCAATCATTATGGGTTTGGTTTCTTATGTTTTTTGATTATTTCAGTTAAAACCAAGTCTTGTATATTTTTCTGTTCATCAGACCATATTGGTACATTTATGGGAGTCATCATGTTTCTTTTTGAAATTAAAGTAATTGTATGATTATTTGTTAACATAAAAACGGTAAAAGATTCAGCCTGTCAAATGACAGCTGAATTCAAAAATACTATATTTAATTAATTGATAAAAATAATTTTTTACTTGGAAACCATCTTTGAGTAAGCTCTCCTTAAATAAAACACCAAATTTATTTTCTGAACTTAATATGATACACAAAAATTTACCTTGTGACGACTCTTTTGAAATGCAAACAGTAAACAAACCAAATTCGCAAACAATAATTTATAGGTTTTCTTTTTTTCTTCAATTTTTGGAAATGTTTCAATAAAAACACTAATGGTATCAGCGTTTTCATCAACAAAACACTTTTTTCAAAAAAATGTTTTATAAAATAATCACAAGGTTAAACAAACTACAACAAATGATCATTTTATTCGTGTTTAATATTATATAACATTTTTTTATAAAATAATGTGCTTATATTAAATGACATTAAACATCAATTATACTTATTGTTAAACATTTATTGATTTGATTGTATTTTAAAATTTAAAACCATTATGAATATTAAAACATCGTGATTTTTATTGGGGTTGAAATACAAAAACATTTATTTAAACAATGGAATTTTATAAGAATTCATCATCAAAATTTCCTTCTCCTCCACATTATGTTATATTACAATCTAAAAGAGGCGAAGAAATGTCTCATGTTGATGGTTATAAATTTTCTTCAAAAGATCGCGCTACCGGGTCTTTTTGTTGTAGAATATGTGGGAAAATAATTTGGTGTCATCGATATTAATATGGTCTATTAAACAATTTTAAATTTCGTGGTAAAAAAAGAACAAGACATGAAAATTTTGATTATTTTGATGATTACTACATGTGTCTGCTTAGATATTCTTCAAAAAGCAATTACTCGACATATAAAACGACTTCAAAAATAGTCGCTAAAATTATTTTTGTAGTTTAACCAAACGATTTTCAACTGGAGAAAGGTTTGTGAAATTAAATAAACAAATTGCTCTGAATCCAACATCAACTGATCAAATTATTTTTACAGATGAAGAAAAA